TAACGCTTCGATTCCATCATGCTGAACCATATCCCAACCCTCCCCCCGCTGATGTAGTGCTAAGCTAGCGGTGCAAAATGCAGGTGCATTAGCTAATAGCTAAAGGTAGAGTGCTACTGCTACCTCATGTTGAGCCGTAGTATCCTAACTGCACCCTCCTCCCCCACCCTCCGCCGTAAAACTTTTGGTACAAACAGCGCAACACAGACGTGTCTCGGTCCCCAGGCAGGCTATGGCAAGCCAATTGTGTCATTAATAGCCACTTTACCTATTACATGACAATATGCCATACTACTCTGGTGCCATCTAGCGGCTGAAAATGGTAGTGTTCAATATTTTCAGTCAGAATGAATGAAAAAATTTTGGTTTATAAATATGGAAAAATCCATAAATACGTTGCTTCGGACTATATGTCGCAGTTCATGCAAATTATGCAAAAGAAGTGACTTATAAGGTGAAAAATATGGTATATTGTGTACGTCAACAGGACAGATTGACATTTAGTGCAACACTGGTTTAAGTGGTGAAAGAATAAAATTAATGTTTGTAAACAGAATATGAAGCTAGAGCTAACCGGTGGTTAGCTTAGCCTAAAGAAGCTGTTCCAGTTTTTTGACGGGAGTTTCCAAGGACAAATTATGAATTAATAGCTCTTTGGTGTTAGCCACATGTGTACTATCTTTCAAAGTGGATTTTTGCCAAATTTAAACAGAAAATTACAAAAAGGCGGTTCACATGAAATACGTTTAATAAACCTTTTAAATTATTAGCCATCAGCATTGCAATCATAGAATTCAGAGGTACTGACGGAGTACTGAATTTTAAAACTGCTAGCTTGAACTGCTATCATCGTTTCTCTTAAGTGATGTTGTTCAAAGGGCTATCTACAACAGGTAAGATATTAACTGTTCATAACCTTTCCGATACAAAATGTCTAGACTGTGTTAACTTGAACGGTGGAGGTGACGTCAGTCCCGGCTCGCGTTTCAGGAGAGTCCGTATTTTTCCTTCAGCTTCTCCACTAAATCGACGTACGCCTCCATCGCTTGTTCTTTGGACAGACCTGTTGGTCAAGAACCAAACAAACAAAAGAAAATACCTTAGAATTTAGATTTATAATCACGTTAAAACTTAAAACGTTACGAGCTTTGTGTAAAACCGATCGTTTTGTTATTAAAAACCTTTCTTGGCGTTCCACGCATCCCATTTAGCTTTTTCTGTAAAACTCAGGAATCCCGGACGTTCTGCGGAGACAAAAGCAGGAGTTGGTGACGGACGTGTAGTTTATCGGCTTCTTTCTCATCCCGCAGTCTTCAACAAATCATGAATCAAAACGTTCGGCTCGTTCAGGACAATCCTGCTCTGACTTTTGGTTTTGGTGCAACTTTAGCTTTTTGAAATATTTTAGCCTTTTCTGACTTTTTTTTTTCCTCATAGAAAATGAATTGAGCTCATTTTCCATCCTTCAAATCTTTAGCTGTTTTCAAACTTTTACTGCTCCTTTCACATGTTGTTCTGCTTCAGCTACTTTCAGCTAATTTCAGCTGTTTTGTGCTCCTTTCAGATTCTTTCTACTAACTACAAAATTTTTGTGCTTCTAACTTTTTTATGCTAATTTCAGCTCGTTTCTGCAAGTTTGAGCTTTTTCTACTGTTTCAGCTACAATATAGCTGTTTTATGCTAATTTAAGCTTTTTCAGCTAATTCCACTTTTTTTTTTTTTGCACTCGTTTAAACTTTTTTCAGCCTAATTCAGCAAAAACATGCTCTCTTCACTTCTGGTAATTTCAGCTTATTTCTGCCCGTTTAGCTATTTTCAGCTGGTTTTTTTTTTGTTTTTGCTAATTTAAGCTTTTTTCAGACAATTCACACTTTTTTGGCTCATTTCTGCTTCTTTCAACCTCATTAGACAAACATGTTCTTTAATTTCTGCTTTCTTCTGCTAATTTAAGCTTATTCTAACTTTTTAGCCAATTTCAGCTGTTTTCAGATATATTTAAGTTTTTCTAGGTAATTTCTGCTACTTTCAACCTAATTAACTTTTTCAGCTATTTTCATCTTTTTCTGCTACTCTTTGTATGCACATTTTATCTTTTTCAGATAATTACACATTTTTAAGCTCTTTTTACTTCCTTCTCATAGGTTAAGCTTCTTTCTGCCTTTTCGGCTACTTTTAGATGTTATTTTTGCTAATTTTGCTTTTTTTGTAGCCGATTTCCTAATTTTTGTGCTCATTTAAAACTAATTCAGCAAATATGTGTTCGTTCTGCTTTCTTCTGCTAATTTAGGCTTATTATTTCATTTCAGCAAGTTTTTTAGCTGATTTCAGCTGTTTTTCCAGAAAGTTCTTCTGCAGGAAATGTGATTTCTCTACTTTTGTTTGCGCTCATGTTCCACAGCGACGCACACAAAGTGAGTTTTACATTAACGACTTCCAGAAATTTAGCCACCACGTCGATTCAAGATGGCCGCTACAAGTAATCGACCACAGCAGCGTCACTTTTACAGATATCGAGCTAAAATTCGGTGCGGTAGTAGCCAGGGCTGAATTTGTAAACCGACCCATGGAACACAAATAGTGGGCTGGGGAGCATCAGAACATTTTTAATCAAGTAGATCTGATTTCCTGCACTTTGGTGTATTTTAACGGGTTGTTAAACTTCTACATTTCCTTATATTTGTAAACGTTCCACGTTTCCGAGCAGACTCTTCTTCGCTGAATTCACTGTCCACCTCCACATGTGGAACCTCCAGGCTCCTCCTCCGTCTGTTCAAGGCGGCTGCCCGGCACTCACCCCACCGCTCGTTTAGGGGCGGAGCTTTGTTTAAGGGCAGAGCTGGAAATGCGACTGGAGGCGGCAGCTCGTATGTGATGTAAAGAAGTGGCTGTTATGTTTAAAATTAGTGTTTATGTAATTTCAGATTACACATCCAATATCATTTTATTCGTCCAAGGCAGTCAAATTTGTTCATAACTTTATTATCAACCTGAGATCTACCGGATCCAAGCAAATCCTGTCAAAATAAGAGCGTTCCCACATCCTGTTCCGGCAGGATCCGGCTCAAATTAAGCCCCGGTAGCAGTCGAGGGTCATTAACACACACTCTGTGCTGAAAGATCTCATGAGACCTCGCAGGATTCCAGGTGACATTCCTTCACAGCGTTTCTTTTAATGGAATATTTTAGGAACTTGAATGAAAAACTGAATTTATTTTAAAGTTTTTTTGAGTTCCTCCGTCCTGAGTTTGAATCAAACTTGTCCGACCTCATTTTTTCCTCTTAGCTCCGCCCTTCAAGGTCTTTACTGCACAATTTTAAACAAGTCTGGACACTTTTTGTTATCATTACCCCCCCCCCCACACACACACACACACACTTGTATCCGTTTACACTCACCTGTGTTCACGTCGCCCACCTTGGCTTGCTTATACAAACCGTAGAGCAGAGACAGGTCGTCTTGACCTGGTCTCTGTTTCAGGACCTTCGCCTCCTCGGCTGCTTTGTTGAACAACTCCTGGAAATTTTAATAAAATAATAATAATAATCAGAACACGAAGCTTGGCTCACCTTTACGCTTCGTTTTCCTGATCACATGGACAAAAATCTGCACACGTGAAGTTTCAACCTGAAGGAGTTCTGCTTTCAGAACCACCCGATAACTTGTCCGTCAATCACAAACTGAAGCGAAAGCCTGAAAACGTAAAAAGTTATGATCAATTTTAAAAACTTACAGTTAAACTTTCAGCCATGGCTGGTGGGAGAAACCGTCCTGCTGCTGCTGAACTCGCAAAACTTGTCAGAGCCCAGATTTCCCAAGAGGGGCGGAGCTTCAACTGAAGGCAGGAAGTAGGTCGGGCGGATTTTTAAAAGGGACGGTTCAGAGCCAGTGGGAAGGTCCTGAGCAGCTAGCATCTTACCTGTTGCAGATAACTCGGAACAGTGTTAGTTTGGAGAAACTGGGTTTAATTGTGACTGGAGGAGTAAAAGATTTAAGGAGGTGCCGTTTCATAATTAACAAAGTGCCTTTTTCCTCCTTTTCAGTCACAATGACAATTTTACTGCTATAGCACAAAAAAAAATACAGAAATGTACCAAAGTGCTTTACAAATCAATCTAGAGAAATTGTATTTCCTGTGAAAATGCAATGTGAACACTTATTGCAGAAGAACTTGCTGAATTAGCTAAAAAATGAGCTAAAAGCATGTTGAAAATAGCTGAAAAAAAAGCTGAAATTAGCTAAAAACAACTGAAATGTAGCTGAAATGAAGAACGAGCCTAAAATAGCGGAAGAAGAGAGAACACATTTTCTGAATTAGGTTTAAATGAGCAGAAATGAGTAAATTAGCTCAAACTAAAAAAGGCTGAAATTAGCTGAAAAGTTTCTGAAATTGAGAAAAAAGCTTAAACTACCAATAGGAAATGGAAAGAGTTGAGATGAGCTAAAAAAATATATATATATAAATAAAATATATATATATATAAACGGAAGTGGCATAAAAAACAAAAAAGAAGCTAAAATTTACACACACAAAAAAAAAAACAGCTGAAACTAGCAAACAAAACCTGAAAGGAACAAAATGAGCTGAAATGACAAAAAATAAGTTAATTAGGCTTAAGTAGCAGAAATTACCACAAAAAAGCTTGAACTTATAAGACAACAGCTGCAAGTAGCTAAAAAAAATGCTAAAAAAGGTAGCTGAAAAGTTAGAACAAACAAATTAACATAAGAAAGCAGAAAAACATGTTTTCCCAACTGGGCTGAAAGAAGCAGAAATGAGCACAAAAAAGTGGAAATTATTTTTAAAAAGCTAAAATTTGGAAGAAAAAAAAACAGCTGAATAGTAGCTAAAATAGCGAAAAGCAGCTTAAAATATCAAAAGGAAGTGAAGAGAGCATGTTTTTGCTGAATTAGGCTGAAAGTTTAAATGAGTGCAAAAAATATGGAATTAGCTGAAAAAGTTAAAATTAGCATAAAAACAGCTAAACAGTAGCTGAAACTAAAGAAAATGCTGAAACTCATAAATAAGCTGAAAGAAGCATAACAAGTTGAAATTAGCAGAAAAAGTTAGAAGCACAAAAATGTAGTTAGTAGAAACAATCTGAAAGGAGCACAAAACAGCTGAAAGTAGCTGAAAAAACGTAAATTTGCAGAAGGAAGCTGAAGCAGAACAAAAAGTGAAAGGAGCATTAAAAGGTTGTAAACAGATCTAAAGATTTGAAGGATGTAAAATGAGCTCAATTCATTTTATATAAGGAAAAAATGGCAGAAAAGGCTAAATATTTTTAAAAAGCTAAAGTTGCACTAATACCAAAAGTGACAGCAGGATTGTCCTGAACGAGCCGAATGTTTTGATTTGTTTTGTTGAAATAGCACAAAAACTGAGACAAGATGCTAAAAAATGTAAGGAATACAAACTGGATGTCAACAGTGTGAATGCAGCACATTATACGCCCGTCAACAAACTTATATACAGCATTCTATAGCAACAGCCTGGACAAATAAAGATCTTGGGTAACATTTGACCTTGATTTGTGACCTTGACCTTGAAGCTGTGGTGATTGAAAGTGTACAGGACACTTCGTCTAGTGACGATGTATAAGTGTATAAAGTTTTGTTAAATCGTCTTGAGCAGATTAGAAGTTATGGACGGGACAAGAGAAGGTTTACATACGGGCGTGGACTGTATCGTGATGCGTTCGTTTTCTGACGAGCCTATAAAAATATTAAAATGGATCAAGAGAAGCAAGTGGGGATTAGTGAGCATGGTGCAGCAGAGAGGTAATAAAAGAAAAAGAAAATCCACATACCTCAAAACTTGGAATGACGGCAGTCCATTCATCATCTTTACCCGCTTCATGCGATTCAACTCAAAAAGTTCTGAGAGCGCATGATCAGGTCCGACTTCTCCTCCTCGGGATCAAGGCTCGTTTTAATTTGTGACAACTTCTAAATAAAACACTAAAACAAAATCATAGAAACAATGCTGCGACTGAGGCTTACATTCTAGTCTGTTTTTCTGTCCGTCTTAGAGTGCAGAAGCAGGTGTGTGGTTACCATGGTAACCCCCATCTGCCACTGGCAGCACTTGTAACACGTCAAAACGACGGCAACTTGTCAGCTTAGATCGTGACAGAGGTCAGCTCCAGATATTTTGGGTGGTTTTAGAAGAAAGTTGATGAATTAGGAGTTTTAGCTGCTCTGACAGACTTCAGATCATTCCCAGTCTTTACCAGAACCTCACTCCAGAAGACCCGAACTGCAAACCTGTTTAACAAACGGTACTTTCTGATGGTTTCTGTGCTTTAATCCTTCACTTGGACTTGTTTGAGAATCACCACAAGATGGCAGCCTTCACATATTTAAAGATGCTGCCTGCTCCTTGTTGTGTGTTTTTATTCTGAATAAGAGCCTAAAATTTAAAGATCGGGACCACGACGTGAATAAAGTCCTGACAAACTGTTGTAGAAAACTTTATTTTTGCAGAACGTTTGTGTTAAATCTCTTTACATTCTTAAATGGTTGTTATTTTGAACAATGTACATAAAAACGTGTTTGGGAGACAAGAAAACACAAAGAGACGTAAACGGCCACAGAGTGAGGAAAAGTCATCTTCGCCTGAAACAGCTTCCAGTCAGCAGCTTCTTAACATGAAGGAACTATAAAGAAAACGAGTAACGTGAACGTTCGAGGCTAAACGCTTCAGGAAGCAGGACGTGTTCTTTTCTGATAAAAGTTTGTTTTCTCCGAAGTGTTCCTAAGTCCACATTAGTGCTTCTTTTTTCCACCAGTGACATTAAAACATTAAACTTTTCTGCTGGTTCACCGTTTGAACATTCTCTTCTGGGCTTCAGCAGCCCTTCAAAATAAAATCACCCGGCTATAAGCTCGTACGTTTTGTACAAAAGACGAGTTGTTTTTACGATCTCCTGTTTGAAAGTGACGACGTCTGCCCCCTGCTGTTGGAAACTGGAGCTGCGGTTCAACCCCGGAGCGTCCCGTAGCTTTGAAGACGCTTTAGTCTTTTTGTCTCAAATTAAAAAGTCTTTAACAGAAGCAGAAGCTGCGTTAAAACAGGCGTTCAGATTTATTTTAAACGCGAGAAGTCACTGTGAACAGGCAGTATCTTACCTGTTGTAGACGGCTCTTTGAACAAACTAAATTTGAAAGTTTTTGATGACGGGAGTACCTGCGTGAGGCAAATGGCAGGTGTAAAGGTTAATACAAAAAACAACGTTAGCACAAGTCGCTGTTTAAGTTTTGAGAAATCCACTTGGGTTCTCGTCGCGCGCAGATTAGCCGTTAGCTCGGTCGGAACAAGCGGCACGCCGACGTCCTCGCTGCCGGATATGATTAATGAATGTTCAAGCGGGTTCGAGTTACATTGGAGGAGAACAGAGGGAGGTTTTGTTTTTCGTTTGTCCGAGGAGGCGCGGAGTGATCCACCACCGGGCGCAGTGGCAGAGCCAGGGGGTGGCCAATGGTGGCCTTGGCCACCCTAGTTTAACCTGTGACCACCCGAATCATTTAAAGAAACTGCGACTTCCAGTTTTTATATTACTGAAAAGTGTAGTTTCCTTAAGGTAAGACGTTTGTTCACCGAACTGTCTCGTTAAGAAGAAACGGACTTTCAGCACCGTGTCCGGGAGCTTCTGGTTCCTAAACTGAAAACTGAAGCACCTTGGAAGTTTTTATAAATTGTATATTTGAGCATCTTGTTTTTGGCAACCTCTAACTCGACTGTGTTTAAAGAGTTTAGCTAAAATTAGGTTTTTAAACTCGTGAATAGTTTGGCAAAAAAAAAAAAAAAAAAAGTTGTTACTTAAAATGAAGTTTCCCCTGCAACACATTTTAAGTGTTCTTTAAACAGAACAGATTAATGTCAAGTGCTGTGAAATAAAATAAGGACTAAATAACGTAAAATAAAATCTGGATGTTCAGGAAAAAAAAAAAACAACAGATCCTTAAATTAATGGTTCCCAACACTGGTCCCTGAGGGACACCTAATTCAGTGATTTAATTACTATCTCAAGTTCTGCTGAAGCCCGTTAATCACAAAGTCGTTCAAATCAGAGCAGGGAAACAGCTAAAACATGCAGGATGGTGTTCCTCAAGGACCAGAGTTGGGAACCCCTGCTTTAAATGACTCAGCTACGTCCTCGATGGGCGCCATCTTGAATGTGTTCACTCCTAAAGCTGGGGGTGTTAACGGTCCAACGAATACTTTTGGTTTTATAATTTTGTCCTGGAGGCTTTTGAGGTATTTTGCTAACACAAAGGCACGCGGCACAAACAATCTCCTTTTCACACTTGGCAGTTTTTTGGTTTTTTTTTGCTTGACTGAATTCAATAATCTGATTTAGGTTCGCTGAATGCAGACATCTTGTGTTGGACATGAATATTCTTCAGTTTGGGAGCAAAGCTGCGATAAATTAAATAAAATGGTAATTTCTGACTCCGTGTTGTGCTTTCTCGACTGGTCTCTCAGGATCTGCCGGCTCATTTGTCGAGAAACGAAACCTCGACAGGCCAAAGAGACAAGTCCCCGGCAGACTCCAGAGTATAAATATTTTATCTTCAGTGTTGAGATTCACCTCGTGTCCGGAGAAGCAGCGCTCCTCACACGTTGCTGACGTCCTCCGCCCCGCTGAAGCCGCGTTCGGGCGGCAGGGCGAAGCCGACGTGGCGGCTCCTCTCCCAGCCGCGGCGGATCTTTCGGAGGCGCCCGGCCACGCAGGGCACGAAGAGGGCCAGGCGGCCCAGCAGGACCACGCAGGGGAGGATCAGGACCAGGACGAAGGTGGGGGGCAGGCAGAAGCGGTACTGCGACCGATCGAAGGCGCGGTCCCAGCCGTAGACGAGCGTGTGGACGGTGGCCATGGTCAGAGCGCCGTGACCGAGCGACGACTGCGAAACAGTGAAAGAAGATTTGTTTTCTCAGAAACCTTCCTGCTGAATATGACGACACATAAAAGACGAGTCAGCACGTCCACGTCAGCTGTGTTCGAGGCCGACGCAGACCCCGAGGAAGTCCACTGACCCCACCACTCAGGACCTGAAACCCACAGAGCGCCACATAATTCAGCTTCAGGGGCCATAAATCACCAAAAGCTTCCCCAGGTCGTCACTGGGCGGAGGCCAGAGGTGGAAAACACTCATTCTTTTCTTAAACGAACCCTAACGGGGCCGAGTCGTTGTCCCGCCTCGCGGGCAGGACGTCTTCATCGCAGCACCAGTTAGAAACACACGACTGTTCACTCACTCGATTTCTGAACTTAAAACTGTAACGAGACAAGTTGGTTCTGAACCACCACGATGACCAAATGAGGCACTGCCCCCTCGCAACCATCCCAGAGCGACAAACTGGTCCTGCATCAGTTCCAGCCGTCGTACTTCATTACCACCATTAAACAAGCAGGGCGCCCCGTAGGCCTGTCACCAGAACCGAGCGCCCTGTAGGCCTGTCAACAGAACACATTTTGATGGGCGATTAATCGTCTCAGAAATTATCGCGATAAACGATAATATTGTTTGAAATTTCACAATAATTAGTAATTATTGTCAAATTTAACTAGAAATGGTGGTTATTTTTTGTGTGAAGTACCTTTTTTGACCACTGGATGGCAGTATAAGACAGTTTGAACCCAAGGATGGATAGTGAGGGAGCGAGCAGCGTGTCTCTAAGAAAAATGGGAGGGAGGCCCCTTGACGTGACATGGGCTGTGTCTCTTTGGTTCTCAAAATGGCGGACGCTCGGTGTGGTTTGAGCTCTTTAGCATTTTTCTCACAAAACTTAATAAAAAAAAGTTCTCAGCTTTTTTTTGAAGAGAAACAACTTTTTACACGAAGGCACGAGATTCAACTGTGAATCTTGGAGCTGTGACAAGACGGAGGTTTTTTCCCCCCCGAGGACGGCCTGTTAGCTTAGCTCGTAACTTAGCTTCTTAGCTTAGCTGCTTTTAATGATCCAAAAACAGGATTTTAAAGAGAAAAGAGAATTGGGGGGAGGGGGGGGGTCAGAAAGAGATGAAGAAACGATAAATGAAAACGAGGTCAGTAATTTTCATTTATCATGCGATTAATTCATTTATTGATTATCGTGACAGGCCTACGCACAACACAGAAGCGCTAGCTAAAAAGCCAAGCGCTCCATCTCCACTCGAGCTGAGCCCCCCCCCCGCTTGCTGTCGATACAAACACCCCCCACCGCTGAACATACGAGCACCCTGCCAAGGCAAGGGGCAACTCTGTACTTTTATTCTGAAAGGTTTACAAAGTAGAAACTAGGGTCGCAGGTGAGCTCAATCTCAAACGCTTCAAAAAGTTACACAATTTATTGACAATTCATCACCTGGCGAGTTTTTCCAAAGGTTGGGAATCACTCTCAGCTACTACCACACCAGATGTTATATACGAGTGCCATGTGTCGTCATCACTGTTTCTATACGCTGACCAAATCCTCTGCATTTAACCAAACGCACCTGAGACACCCAGGTGGAGCAGTGGGCAGCTAAGGACACCACCACATGTGGGCATGGCGGGGAGCCGAACCGCCACTTTCTGGTCCCGAGGCGGCTGCCCTACCTCTACACCATCGTGGCCCCCGAGATTTTAGCTGCACATCTGTAACAAGGACCGGGTTAGAGTCACTCTGTGTTCACCGAGGCCGGTGGCGACCATCACGGCAGGTCGTTGATAAATCTTTTTGTTGATTCAAGTCTTTTGTTTGAAAACAACACACCAACACATCCAAAGAGACACTTTCGCCCACTATCCTGCAGCTCTGGCCACCACGCAGGAATGCACCGAGCTGAAACTGTCAGCACATGACTAATCTGACGACCGATGGATTACTGCGAGTTGAAAGTGGACAAAAAAAAGACTAAGTCCTGGAAGACTGGAGGCCATGACGGGGGAGGAGGAGGGGAGGGAGAGGGGGGGAGTAAGTGTGCTCTGAGTCACGACAAGTTCAGCTGTGAATCTGGGGCAGCTGCAGGAGGGGGAACATGTGGAGTCGCTGCGCAAGAGACAACGTGTCTCTGAGAGGACATCAGTGGGACACCTGTCTGCCATGTTTGTTCCCGTCATTCAGCAGCAGAACGAACGAGACGCTGTGCGTGTGCATGTGCGTGTGCATGTGTGTGTGCGCGTACCTGCACGAAGCTGAACTCCCTCCAGTTGACGGTGCCGGCCACTGACGGCAGCGAGGTGACGGCCAGCAGGGAGAGCAGGCCGAGGGCCATGATGCCCACGGACAGGTACAGCTCCATCCTCCACACGTCAGCATCCACCCACGAGTCGGCCACGCCATCTTTCACCTGGACACGCCGACAAACACCCAAGTGAGAACTGAACGACGAACGTTCCCAAGCGTCCGGATTTTCAGTCGAGAGGAAAAAAGTCCTCGGGTTTTCACGTCAGGACATCAAAGGAGCTGCGAGACAGACGGCAGTGTGTCCCCCACCATTACACAAGCAGGGCGCCCCGCCCCGTCAACAGAACGACCCCCCCCCCCCCCCAACACACCCCCGTCGACAAGTGCCGGCACTGATGTAGCGCTAAGCTAGCGGCGTACAGTACAGACACGCTAGCTAAAAAGTTGACGATGCAGGTAGTGCTCCGTCACCCTCATGCTGCACCCCCCCCCCCCCCACACACACACCAAAAAAACCTGACGGTACAAACAGCCCACTACACAGAGGCCCCCGTCTCTCCCCCCACCCAACCACAGAAGACATGAGTGCCTACCAAGGCCTGTAAACTGGGGGAACACTGGACAGGACAGTTCATGGGTCAATGTGCGATACAAAGACCAAGTCCTCCCCCTCCACCACTGTACTGACAGTGCCCCTGTGCATTATGGGTAAACAGCTCTACTTTGGTCTCATCCGTTCAAATGGCGTTGTCCCAGAAGTCCTGTGCTTCGTTCAGCTGAAACTTGACAAACCCGAGTCCGGCTGCCACGTTTGTTTTTAAGACAAGAGCCTCCTGCGACTCTTCCAAACACGTTCCGTCTTTCCTAGCCCGCCCCGTCATGAACTTTGAACTTTAACCTACTAACCGAGGCACTGAGGGAACATGTCCGTGTCCCTCTATGTAGCGCGTTTGGCACTAAGCAGACGAATTGTTAGAGATGATTTAATCCCCTGATGGTAATTGGTGCTTAGGGACTTTTAATTTCCAGGTCACCGTTTTGTTTTGGTGCGCTCAACGTTCAACCGTAGATCTTACCGGACGTGGAGCAAACCGTGCCAGCTGCTCCGATACCGACCAACGAAGGCCTTGATTAGTACTCTGATTAACTCGGGACAGTCCTATTTTTATGGAAGAGCTTTGTAATGAATCATTATGAAATTTAAAAGGTTAGAGTCCGTTCAAGACAACTACCGTAATTTCTGGACTATAAGCCGCTACTTGTTTCACACACTTTGAGCCCTGAGGCTTATACAACGCAGTGTTTCTCCTAGATCAGTGTTTTAACGGAGGAGGGGGTGAAGTCACGTTTAAGTTGCCCGCCCACTAGCTTAGTGCGGTTTATTTTCTATGGAGGGAGTGGGAACGGAGTGGTATGTCAGTAGCATATGTGCTAGCGTGTTTGTGTTGCGCTCCATGTTAAATCAGTCCCGACAGTTGTCGACGGTGGCGGGGAGAGGGGGTGGGTTAGTACGTAGGGCGCTCGGTTCTGTTGATGGGCCTGTATAATGGTAGAGGAAACACTGGAAGTCCGTTCACGACAACTACCGTAATTTACGGACTATAAGCCGCTTTTTTTTTTTTCCCCACACACTTTGAAGCCAGCGGAAAATTTAGGGATTTTTTTTTTTTTTCCCCAAAACATTTAGCCTCTAGTGACTTTCTTGGTAGGCTACTGTATTTTACTTTATTTTTAACCAGCCGTATTACAGGCACTGCTCTTTTTTTTTTTTACTGTACGTATTTGTGAATATTACCGGTACGAATTCAATTAAAAGTTTTAAAAATCGTTCTATGTAAATACCTCATGTTATAATGCGGACACCCACGGCTTATACACAAGTGCGGCCTATATAGGTACGAAAAGGGTTTTTTTTTTGTGGGCGGGGTTTATACTCTGGTGCGCTCAATAGTATGGAAATTACGGTATTCAATTTGAAAGTGGGTCCATGTGAACAAGTCAGTTAGGCTCGAGCGTACATGTCCACGTATCGAAACGACTTTGTTGACGTTTATAATGTAGAGTTTCTGGGATTTCTGTAGACAAGAGCAATGTACTTTAGTCTTATTTGTCTTTAGACTAGCCATTAGCTTTTCAGACGCCTCTCCTTCTTCGTCTAACCTGTCGATAAGCCTCGTTGATCAGTTTGAAGCGCGCAGACTTCCTCATCGGAAGACTCAGGCTGTAAATGGCGTGCAGGACGGCACACAGGAAGCTGCAGAGCCCAAACTGCTTCCTCAGGGTCAGCCAGCGGTCCAGCCAGTTGGGGAAACGACGGTACTTGGTGCCCCGCCACAGCTGGAGGTAGGCGGCGTTCAAACCGGGCAGGTAAACCAGCGCCAGCATCACCAGGGCCACCGAGGGGAGGCTGAGGTTCACGGTGTCAACGGGCATTTTGTAGAAAGCGTTCTTCCCTGTTGAGATGTAGGGATGCAAGACGTCCCGGGTGAAGTTGTAGAAGTAGAAAAAGACAAACAGAGACAGGGTACAGATGAAGGGGATGTGCCAGGAGGGAAACAAATAGAGAGGCTGGTTCTCAATCTCCAGAGAAGACGAAAGGAGGCCCATGTCAATGGGGATAAAACCCATTCGGTGACAGATTTGCTTCACCGAGTTCTTGGCCTTTTGACTGTCGCTGCACAGAAAAACCTGCAGAAAACAGAAGAGAAAATAAAAGCCCAAACGAACAGTCGATACATTTTTTATCCCGACTTCTTACGAGTCTAAATCAGCAGCCGGTGACGTTCCCCACCTGCCTGTTTCCATCTCGGGGTCCGGTCTGGAGCGTCCAGGCTGAGATGGTGTTGAACCCTTTGACTATGAAACTCTCCGGGAAAATGTCCGCGAGCAGCTCGGCGTTGGAGGGGCCATCGCGGCTGATGCGTAAACCGTTGCTGACGTCCACCAGAGTCTTTCCGGCCAGCGCCGGCTTCAAGGACACCAGCGTAGAGTGGTGTTCAGGATAGACGGCGACAAAGACCAGGTCCGCCTGGCTCGCCGCCTCCATCTGGGTGGTCACCTGGAGGACAGCGTCTGATTTTAGTGCGCAACGTATTTTCCGGCATATAAGTCGCTCCGAGTACGTTGCGTCAAAAAAAAAAAAAACATGAAGAGGAAAAAAACATATAGGTCAGTCAAACATTGCGTTATGAATATGGGAAAAAAATGTATACAAGTTGCTTCGGCGTATACGTCGCAGGACTGACAAATCTATGCAAAAAAGTGACTTATACACTGGAAAATACGGTACCTGCAACCTCACAAGGGATGAAAAAGGTGACAAACATAGAGCCTGTAGTTTGTGGGGGGGGCGGTAACGACGTCCCCACAACCCACCAATAGATTTTTAACGTAAATTAAGCATTCTGGTAAACCCCAAGAAGAAAATTAGTAAAAACTTGTGTCTTAAACTGTGCAAAGCTAGCAGCGCACAATACAGACACGCTAGCTAAGATGATAAAGAAGTAGCGCTATGCTTCTCTTAACGCATCCTACCCCCCGCGCCGGGTCAACAACTGCCAGCACTTATGTAGCGCTGAGCTAACACTATGCAAGTGCGCTAGCTTAGCGCTTACGAGCTAGCACAAGCTCTGTTGCGAGCTAGTTAGCGCAACTTACCTAGCGTGACTTACGTAGCACTAGCTTAGCACTATGCAAGTCCAGTCAATGGGAAGTCATACCATCTACCACGCCTCTGACCCCCCGGGGAAAAAAAAAAAAAACTTCGGATTTAGATTATTTACGTAAATGACATTTGTGACTGAAATCAACGAATTTTGCCGAAAAAAGCGACAAGTTTGTCGATTTGTTAGTAGTTTACACGGTAATGTTGACAAATAGATAGGGATGAATAAATGAAGAAAAGCAGCAAATATCTTTAACTTAGCGCCGTTTGAACCAACGCTAAATCGTCAACTTTACGAATTACAGCAGAATTTGTTTTAGTACAATCATCTTCAAAGAACGCACAGAGGATATAAAACATTTATCCTCCAGTGTTAAAATGCCACATCCTTGTGTAAAAGTGAAAAATAAACTAGAGAAATTGCATTTCCTGCGAAAAGGCAGTGTGAATGCTTATTGGAGAAGAACTTGCTGAAAAACAGCTGAAATCAGCAACAACAAAAAAACATGCTGAAACTGTAGAACAAGCGTAAATCAGCAGGAGAAAGCACAAAAGTTGAAATGAGCAAATAGCTAAAAAAAAAAAACTAAAATTAGCATAAAACAGCTAAATAGTAGCTGAAATAACTGAAACTAGCAGAAATATCATGGAAGAAGCATAAGTTGAAATTAGCAGGAAGTTACAGAAATTACCATGAAAATTTGAATTTATCTGAAAACGGATGAAAATTTCATCTGTTTCATCATGAAATTAGCTAAAATATGCTAAAGAACAAGCTTAAATTACCAGAAGAAAGCAGAAAGAATACATGTTTGCCCGATTAGGCTGAAAGAACCAGAAATGAGCATAATAAAGTGGAAATCGCCTGGAAAAGGCTAAAATTAGCAAAAAAAGAACTGAAAAGTAGCTAAAAAGGCAGAAAGACACTTAAATTACCAGAAGGACGTGGAGTGAGCATGTTTTTGCTGAATTAGGCTGAAAATAGTCGAAATGTGTGCAAATAACGTGAATTAGTTGAAAAAGCTAAAATTAGCATAAAACAGCTAAACAATAGCTGAAACAGCAGAACAAGTTGAAACTTGCATAAATAAGCTGAAAAGAGCAGAAATAAGTTAGAAAAAGCATAATAATGTTTTAGATCCTAAAGATCCTGAAATGAGCACAAAACAGCTGAAAAACAGCAGAAATGAGCTGAAAGTAGCTGGAAAAAAATATTAAATTAGCAGAAAGAAGCTGAAGCAGAACAAAATGTGAAAGGAGCAGTAAAAGGTTGTAAACATCTAAAGATTTTGAAGGATGGAAAATGAGCTCAATTTATTTTAGATGAGGGAAAAAAATGGCAGAAAAGGCTAAATATTTTTTTAAAAAGCTAAAGCTGCACCAATACCAAAAGTCACAGCAGGATGGTCCTGAAAGAGCTGAATGTTTTGATTTATGGGTTGTTGAAATAGCTACACCAGAATGTTTTGGGCCAAAATACAGCTTTTTTGGGACCGTTCATAATTCTACCCCCCTCAACTAAATCCCCACAGCATGAAGCTGCCGCCACCGTGTTTCACTGTGTCTCCTTCCGTAGTGAACCGTCCTAACCTGCACTTTTAATCCATGCCTGGATGTTTTTTATCTGCAAGAAAAGCATTTCCTCCCAGAGTCTGCCGCCACATGTGGAACACAACCAGAACTTCTTGCAGCTCCTCCAGCGTTGCTGTAGGCCTCTTGGCTGCCCCCCCCCCCCCCCCCCCAATCTGTGTGTCTCATTTGTTGTTCTTGAATCAACTCTGGAGGGATGTCCAGTTCTCTGTAAAGACTCTGCCGTTACATACAGCATTCCCCCCACTGTTATTCAAAGAGGGCGCCCCGCCAACCTAACAGAACCCGACCCCATGAAGGTCGTAGCGTTTGATAATAAATTAAAACGGTGTTTCCCATACCATTATGCAAGCGGGGCACCCCGCCCTGTCCACAGAACTGAGAGCCCTGGCTACCGAACACGAGCGGACGAGCAACACAGATGTGACTCCGCCCCCTGTTAATAAAAACCAGCAGCAATGTAGCACTAAGCTAGCAGGCAGGTAACACAGATGTGACT